ACCAGGGGCATCTCATGGGGCCCACTACTGACCCCAGGCCCTTAAGCAGTGCCTGAGTGCTCGAATGGTCAGTCCACCCCTGGTCGAAGGAGTTCTGTCCTCCTCTCTGCTACCAACTGCTAAAATGGAGGTGGAGGAGGGCAGAGTGGAGCCTCTCCGCGGCAGCACAGAGAGGATGCAGGATCCAGCGGAGGAGTTCTGTCCTCCTCTCTGCTGAGACAAGATGGGGGCGGAGACGAGGGGGGTGCTGCAGTTGCATGAAATGGACTGGTGGGCCAGATTCGGCCAGTGAGCCTTGTGTTTGACACGTGCTACAGCCAATCACACAGGGTGTCATTCAATCCGGGGCACTGAGGACATCTAGTGGCAGAAAGAGATTACTGAAGGGGACAGCTTTGAAGAGGAAGTGAGCATTGTAGCTGGTGATGAGTTGGCCTTTAAATGTTTTTTTTTTTATTAAAACATCAGTATAAAAACGTGTACTACAAAAAAACCCCAAAACTTCTACTGGAGGTTCAATGGTTAAACCGCTTGAAAACCCACATTCATGTCATTCTCAATCCAATAACGAATTTTATCCCACGGATAACCGGACAGGCCTCAATCCAGATCAATGTAAACCTCTTAATAAAACATAGACAGAGAAAGCCAGTTTGGCAGGTTGAAGGTCCATTGCCCGTTGAAAGTCAATATGTAATATATTTTGTAGAACCACTATCTCTCTCTATCACCCCTGTACCTTGGGTGACCTCTTCCTCCTCCAGAGTTTGCTCAACAGCCCTGATCCAGCAAGCACCACCCTTAACAATTGACCGTAATCAGATTCTTGGCCCGTATGTCAAGTAGAACTATGACAACGCAAGCCAACCAGAGCCAGATGGCAGCAGAAATGGCTGGCATCGCTCCGTAAAAATTACTTATTAACTGGAGATTGGGAGATAACCCGACAGAGCGGGCACCGTGCCTTCAAAGGGGAGATGCTGTTTTAACCCTATAGTATGCGATAATTGTTTGTAACCCTTTCGGTTGGTCATAGGGGACCAACAAGTCCCTGAAAATCAAAGCCTGGGTGTTATGTGTCCATCTTCTACCATTGTCTTCCATCACCAAGCCCACCATGATGCTACTTACCTGACGAGGAAAGACATAGTTTGATACTTTGCTGTTGTAAAAAAGTGTTGAGATTCTCCCTGTACAATAGACTAGAGATGAGCGAATCGAACCAGGCGAACCGGAATTCGATACGAATTTCAGGAAAAATTCGATTCTCGTCGAATCCGAATATTTGCCTACTTCGGGTGCGCGAATCGGTTTTTTTCCCGATCAGCCGGCAAAAAGTGTCCCTGCAGAGAGCTCCGCTATTTCTGACATTTCTCTGACAGTTCCTTCACATGTACAGCGGTTGAAACATTGTATCTATTAGTTTCCATTTAGGATACAGATGTTTCAACCGCTGTACATGTGAAGGAGCTGTCAGAGAACTGTCAGAAATAGAGGAACTCTGCACATACACTTTTTGCCGGTTTGGAATTCTTATTTTCATCCTACTTCTTCTTCTTCTTCTTTATCCTCATCCTCAGAAGAAGAAGAAGAGGATGAAGAAGAAGAAGAAGAAGAAGTAGGATGAAAATAAGAATAATTCCAAGCCGGCAAAAAGTGTATCTGCAGAGCTCCTCTAAGTGTATCTGCAGAATGTCATTTATGGAAACAAATAGATACAATGTTTCAACCGCTGTATGGAGTGAATGTCACAGAACTGTCAGAAATAGACAGAAACTGTCACAGAACTGTCCTTCTTCTCATCCTTCTCCTTCTTCTCATCCTTCTTCTCATCCTTCTCCTTCTTCTCTCATTCTCCTTCTTCTCATCCTTCTCCTTCCTTCTTCTCATCCTTCTCCTTCTCCTTCTTCTCATCCTTCTCCTTCTCCATCTTCTCATCCTTCTCCTTCTTCTCATCCTTCTCCTTCTCCTTCTCCTTCTTCTCATCCTTCTCCTTCTTCTCATCCTTCTTCTCATCCTTCTCCTTCTTCTCATCCTTCTTCTCATCCTTCTCCTTCTTCTCATCCTTCTTCTCATCCTTCTTCTCATCCTTCTCCTTCTTCTCATCCTTCTCCTTCTTCTCATCCTTCTTCTCATCCTTCTCCTTCTTCTCATCCTTCTTCTCATCCTTCTCCTTCTTCTCATCCTTCTCCTTCTTCTCATCCTTCTCCTTCTCCTTCTTCTCATCCTTCTCCTTCTTCTCATCCTTCTCCTTCTTCTCATCCTTCTCCTTCTCCTTCTTCTCATCCTTCTCCTTCTTCTCATCCTTCTTCTCATCCTTCTCCTTCTTCTCATCCTTCTTCTTCTCATCCTTCTCCTTCTCATCCTTCTCCTTCTCCTTCTTCTCATCCTTCTCCTTCTTCTCATCCTTCTCCTTCTCCTTCTTCTCATCCTTCTCCTTCTCCATCTTCTCATCCTTCTCCTTCTCCTTCTTCTCATCCTTCTCCTTCTCCTTCTCCTTCTCCTTCTTCTCATCCTTCTCCTTCTTCTCATCCTTCTCCTTCTCCTTCTTCTCATCCTTCTCTCCTTCTCCTTCTTCTCATCCTTCTCCTTCTCCTTCTTCTCCCTTCTCTTCTCCTTCTCCTTCTCCTTTTCCTTCCTCATCTCCAAGGGCATTTAAATTAAAGGTTCTGCACTAGTTCTTCATTAGTTCTGCACTAATTTAAAGGCTCTCTGAAGCCTAGAAACCCTTTTTATAAGTTAACTTCGTAGCGAATAAATTTGCATCGAATCAAGTTTCTTCCTGAAATTCGCCGAATCAGCCGAATCAAATTTTTGAATAATTCGCTCATCTCTACAATAGACCCTTGAGTGCCGTGGGCTCTTGTTATCAGGAGAGAGGTATGCAATAATTGTAACCTCTCTGGTTGGTCATAGTGGACCAACAAGTCCTTGAAAACCAAAGCCTGGGAGTTACTTGTTGGACTTCTGCTGTCTCCCTCCAGAACCAAGCCCACCATGACACTTACCTGATGAGGAAAGACGTAGTTTGATTCTTTGCTCTTCTAAAAAGTTGGAAATTTTCCCTGTACAACAACAGACCCTTGGGTGTTGTGGGCCCTCATTATTGGAAGAGAGGTATGCAATAATTGTAACCTCCTGGGTGGGTCATAGTAGACCAACAAGTCCTTGAAAATCAAAGCCTGGGTGTTATGTGTCCATCTTCTACCATTGTCTTCCAGCACCAAACCCACCATGATACTACTTACCTGACGATGAAAGACGTAGTTTGATACTTTGCTGTTGTAAAAAAGTTTGGAGATTCTCCCTGTACAACAATAGGCCCTTGAGTGATGTGAGCCCTTGTTATCAGGAGAGAGGAATGCAATAATTGTAACCTCTTTGGTTGGTCATAGTAGACCAACATGTCCTTGAAAACCTAAGCCTGGGAGCAGGGGTGGTCTGACAGCTCATGGGGCCCCCGGGCAATAGAGGATCATGGGGTCCCTATGTCCTTGCCCACACTCAAGCCACACCCAAAAAAGCCTATGAAAGATACCAGGGGCATCTCACGGGGCCCCCTTCTGACCCCGGGCCCCCGGGCAGTGCCCGAGTTTCCAAATGGTCAGTCTGCCATAGAGAGGTATGCAATAATTGTAACCTCCTGGGTTGGTCATAGTAGACCAGCAAGTCCTTGAAAACCAAAGCCTGGGAGTTATGTGTCCATCTTCTACTGTCGTCTGTCAGCACCAAGCCCACCATGATGCAACTTACCTAATGAGGAAAGACGTAGTTTGAAACTTTGTTCTTCTAAAAAGTTGTGAAGTCATCCTGTCCAACAACAGACCCTTGAGCGCTGTGGGCCCTTTGGTATTAGGAGAGAGAGAATGCAATAATTGTTTGTAATCTCTGTGGTTGGTCTTAGGGACCAACAAGTCCTTGAAAAGCACAGCCTAGGAGGTATCTGTCCATCCTCTACCATCTTCTTCTAGCACTGGGATCCACCATGATACTTGCCGGATAATAAAAGGCGCAGTTTGACCCTCTTGTTCTTCTAAAAAGTTAGGAAGTCTGCCTGTACAAGCACAATGACCCCCGAGTGCTATGGACCCTTGTTAATACTTCTCGGGGGGGGGGGGGGGGACAGCCCATTAATTTTGTAGGCCGTGCTCAGAACTCATTGCGTTGCTTCTGCTTCCCTTACTTTCACATAGTTCCACTGGAGTCAAGTTTTCTATAAGTATGGATAATATAACAAAAATAATTGTCCATACTGCCCATCCTGTACCAGTTCCCTTTAATGCTGGCCATGCATAGAGCAATTTTCAGGCAACTTCAATCACATCTGACCAAAACACCTAAAAACATAATGGCGGCCTGCCACCGATACTTTAGACCATGTTGTGGTAGACAGCAACATTGATATGTTGTGTCATGTATCTGAGGAGCTCAGGTCGATGAAGATGGCCCCTTGAAGAATTCCCATTCCCATTCAAGCCCCCCAGGTAATGGTCCAGAATCGATAACCAAGCAGAAGACACACAATTCATATGCAAAGCTGAGGTTGGGAATAAGCAGAAGTCGCCATCATCTAAGCAAGTTGGCAAGCAGGATCTTGGTCAAAGGTCCAGGCTGAGGTCAGTAACATAAGTGATCAGTAATCATGAGTGGTCCTCTTGGTGTCAATATCTGTTGTAGACCCCAAGGAAAGCCCCACACACCCTAACTGGATCAAGGCCTGCACCACCACCATCGGGCCATTCATGGACCTTCTTGAAACTTTGATGAGGAGATTTATGGCAGCGCTCTTGCCTTTGTTCCAGCTCACTTGCCTTTATGCTTTTTTCTTCTTGCAGCTGCAACCACAAGTGGTAAAAGTCAGATGGGGAAATTCACCGATATCAAGTCCTGCTTGCAGCCCCCATCATTCAAACCACTACCCTGAGGCCCAGGAGCTGATGGAGAGTGTTGACCCAAAAGACTTTAAAGAACTGCCCCACTTTGCAGATCTCAGCACCTACATGATCCAGCAGGTCATCAAGTTTGCCAAGGAGATCCCAGCTTTTCGGTGAGTTCATGTTTTGGTCACCCTTTCCATTTGGAACCCTAAGATGCCCATATATAAGTGCACAAGATTCGTCTTTGTGACTTCATGTCATCAAGGGGACAATATAAATGGTTGTCCACATGGCACATACACATGATAATAAAAGCTTCAGAACCATTGTATCCTGGCTGTTCCATACCCCCCGTTTCCACTTTCCTCTTCATTTATTTTTTTGAAACCTGAAAAAATAACCTTCACACAGACATACATACATACTGGTATATGAGAGAGTGTTAGAACCAGGGCGGACTGACCATTTGGAAACTTGGGCATTGCCCAAGGGCCCGGGGTCAGTAGGGGGCCCCATTAGATGCCCCTGGTACCTTTTTCATAGGCTTTTTTGAGTTTGGGCAAGGACTCAGGGGCCCCATGATCCCCTATTGCCCGGAAGGACCATGAGTTGTCAGTCCGCCCCTGGTTAGAACCCCAATATCATGTATGAGTTCATAAACAGTGAAAGGGAGGCTTAATTTCAGAGGGTGATACCATGAAAACCCCAAATCCTGGAAGAAGATTTCATCGATTTGGAATAATCTGTTCTAACAATCTATGGTGACATCTTCATTCTACACTGATGGCTTCTTCAAAACATAATTAGTTAACTGGCAGGTCCAAGAGAGAGTGACACCTTTGCCGGTGTCTTGTGGGTGGAGACTGAAATTCGAAATACATAGGGATTTCTTGTGACTGAAGAGCCTGAAGGATACAAAAATCCAATAATTGATTCAGCCCACCATACCTCACCCAATGTCGTGATTTGAGTAGGACCTTTATTAAAGAGCAGCTGTTGTGGTGATATCTCACATTGGGACTTGAAGGGTGTATCTACCCTCCTTTCTTCATATTTTACCCACTGGTTTTCCATAACCATCCATCCATTTTTCATTCACCAGCTCCTTGGCTATCGATGACCAGATCTCCCTCCTGAAAGGGGCCACCATGGAAGTCAGTCAGATACAGTTCAACTCTGTCTTCAACCTGGAGACCAGCCAGTGGGAATGTGGCAAGATTATATTCAGCATTGAAGATGGGGCCTTGTGTGAGTACCCGGGTGCTGGGTTTAACTTTTAATCATGGCTCTTCAATAAAGTTTTTTTAAATTTTGTATGTGGAAGGGTTGGGGCCTGGGTTGGGGCCTGTGGGTGTTGCCTGATGCCTGTTGAAGAAATCCTGTCTTGATGTTCACACAAGCACTAACAGGAGACCATACTAGAAGGAACACAGGTCACAACGAAAACCCATCATGACTTCCCGATATTTTTTTCAAGTGTCTATCACTTTGTACCATTGGGGAGTCTTCTCCTCGGTTCCCATTTTAGAAAAAAATAAGGTCTCATTCTCAGTCCATCCAATCATCATAGGTTCTTGTCATATGTTGCCTTTGTTCACAGGGCTGACCAGTATTTTCTTCCATCTTCTATCCAGCTGGGTTCCAACGGATGTTTTTGGAGCCTTTATTGAAGTTTCACATCACCTTTCGCAAGCTGAAGCTTCATGAGCCGGAATATGTCTTGATGCAAGCCCTGGCGCTCTTCTCTCCGGGTAACCAGAATCTTTCACCTGTTATTAATCATCTGCAAAAAAAATGGAAAGGTGTAAATGGTACTTAAAGTGAACTTGGTTTTGTCAACGGCAACAGGTACACTTACCTTCCGGGCCACCTGGCTCTGTGGGCTTATCTTCCTTTTACTCTTTTGCAGGTCAGTTTGACCAAAGGAGCAAAGAGCAAAATCTCGGTGTAAGTCCTAAGTCATCCAACTTGGAGCTTACACATGGCTAAGGACTCCCTCTCCACCCTTATGTGAAAGTGCTGGGGCCTGCTGATTGGCCATTCAGGTGGCCAGCACTGCGGGGAGGGTTCAGCTTTGGGCACGGTGTGAGCAGCAGTGGAAGGGGCTTAACATTTGGGCCTACTCACTGTATACAATGTAACATATGCCACTGCCATTGTATCCAAAAATTATTTGATTACTGTGCCACAAGTAAGAGTCCAACAGGGGTCTGTAATGCACAGAGTGCAGGGGTCAGGAGAGTGTAACGCACCGAGTGCAGGGGTCAGGAGAGTGTAACGCACCGAGTGCAGGGGTCAGTAGAGTGTAACGCACCGAGTGCAGGGGTCAGGAGAGTGTAACACACAGAGTGCAGGGGTCAGGAGAGTGTAACGCACCGAGTGCAGGGGTCAGTAGAGTGTAACGCACAGAGTGCAGGGGTCAGGAGAGTGTAACGCAGAGTGCAGGGGTCAGTAGAGTGTAACGCACCGAGTGCAGGGGTCAGGAGAGTGTAACACACAGAGTGCAGGGGTCAGGAGAGTGTAACGCACCGAGTGCAGGGGTCAGGAGAGTGTAACACACAGAGTGCAGGGGTCAGGAGAGTGTAACGCACCGAGTGCAGGGGTCAGGAGAGTGTAACGCACAGAGTGCAGGGGTCAGGAGAGTGTAATGCACAGGTCAGCAGACAGAGAACAACAAAGAAAATTACCTACCTCCCTCCATTACAGATCCCCCTCCCACTAGTAAATGCCCCTTCTCCCCAGTAGTTTTCCCCTGTAAATCTCCCCCCAACAAGTAGACATTCCCCATCCAGTTAAGATCCCCCCTACCCGCACACATCCCCCCCACCAGTACTGTTCCCAGCAGTACAGATACCCCTACCCGTACAGTTCCTGCAAGTACAGATCTCCCCAGTAGTACAGATCCTCCCACCTGTACAGATCTCCCCAGTAGTACAGATCCTCCCACCTGTACAGATCTCCCCAATAGTACAGATCCCCCCACCAGTACTGTTACCATCAGTACAGATCTCCCCAGTAGTACATATCCCCTCACCAGTACAGATCCCCCCACCAGTACTGTTCCCATCAGTACAGATCTCCCCAGTATTACAGATCCTCCCACCCATACAGATCTCCCCAGTAGTACATATCCCCCCACCAGTACAGATCCCCCCCACCAGTACTGTTCCCACCCATACAGATCCCCCAACCAGTACAGTTCCAGCCAGTACAGATCCCCCTCAGACCCAGATTCCCAACCACCAGTACAGATCCCCCCAGTAGCGTTGGGCTTGATGTTCGAGTTGAACGTAAGTTTGACCCGAACATTGGCCATTCATGTGTTCGGTGAACGCACAAACAGTAAGGGCATTCGGAAGGCTGTTCGCCCGCTACGCCCCACAATGCACTGTGCTCTTACGGTGCATTGTGATCGGCCAAAGCAATGCACCTGACCTGTGGCCAATCACAGCACACGATGATGTCACAAGGGGGAGAGGTCACCTGTTTGATGTCACCAGGTGTCCCCGCCCCTTAGATATTTCAGAACTGTCAGACAGCGGGAGCCAGTGCCAAGCCTTTTTTTTTTTCCAGGTCGGAAGGCATCGTGATTGACGGTGGATCTACTTCGGGGACTTTTTTTAAATGTTTGTTTTCATCACAGACTGTCTACTGTCATTTTTACAGTGCACTTTTTTTTTTTGTGAATGAGTAGCGGTACCATATACCCCATACTCATTCACATGGGGGAGGGGCCAGGATCTGGGGGCCCCCAGATTCCAATAAGCCCCCTCCCATGGACCCCAACAACCACCGGCCACAGTTGTGGGAGAGAGGCTCTTGTCCCCATCAACATGGGAACAAGGTTCTTTGAGGGGGGGAGACCCCCTACCCAAAGCACCCCCCTCATGTTGAGGGCATGTGGCCTGGTATAGTTCAGGGGGAGGGGGGACTTGCTTGCTCCTCCCTTCTCTAACCTGCTCGGATAAGGGTCTGATATGGATTTTGGGGGGACCCCCACGCCATATTTTTTTAATTTTGGCATGGGGGTTCACCTCAAAATAAATACCAGACCTGAAGGGTTCTACACAGCTTTCCACACCAGTTACCCATCTGGGTATTTCCAAAGAAGGTGATACCTTGTAACATAATTATGGAGTAGGGAAGGAAGAGAATATAGGCACTCTATGGAGAATAATAAGACATACAGAGGGAAGCATGCTAGATCAGATTACAGGCATCCTGTTCATTCTGAGGTTATCCCTTCAAAAGACTTCTGCAAAACACTGAGAAGAAAAAACGTAAGCCATTTCCGGTTTGCATACATCATATGTATCCTTGGCACTATAGAATCGATATAATGTACCATATCTTTATTAGATCGCCCGGGTGTTATCGAACACGACTTTATCGATGAGATCCATGAGAAGACGGCTCTGACGCTGAAATGCTACATCGACTATCACCATCCCCTGCCAGACAGCAGGTAACCCATTGCTGAACAGATATGTTCCAGATTGGCAGGTTCATAGAGGCATGTGTAGATGTCCAGTACCCAAGGGTGGACTGACCATTTAGAAACTGCCCGAGGGCCCGGGGTCATGAGGGGGCCCAATGAGATGCCCCTGGTACCTTTTTCATAGGTTTTTTTGAGTTTGGGCAAGGACACAGGAGCCCCATGATCCCCTATTGCCCGGGGGCCCCATGAGTTGTCAGTCCACCCCTGCCAGTACCACCCTCATCATACCTTTCCCTGCTGGAACTGCTGGAGTTCCCAGTTTCGGCTTGCTTACATGTTCCAAGAAACCTTGGCTTTCTTCTCTCTTCTTCAGTGGAGGACTTCTAAATTCCATTAAGGCCACCTCATCATATCCTGTCTTTTACATTGGTGGCCAAACCCTGCTCCATAGAAGCCACTGAAGCAAGTCCACCTTAAGAAGGTTCAAAAACATCAAATGTTTGTCTATCTAATTAAAAAAAGTGGCAACATCATTGTTTTTCCAGTTCCTCAATTTTCATGACCTGATTCTCTCATCTTCTGAAATTTTAACATTGAAACGTGACAATTTTTAATTTTTTTTCTATTAGGTTCCTTTATGCCAAACTTCTGTCTTTGTTGGCCGAACTTCGCACCCTAAATGAGGAGAATGCAAAGCAGATGATCCACATCCAGAACATCATGTCTGATGCCATGACCCCACTGATGAAGGAGATTTTCAGCTGAAGGACATAACTTGGTAGAACTGATGAAACACGAGCTGTGACGGGGCATTGCTGCCAAGTATGATCCTTGGGATGCTTCTTGTCCCGGTTATGTTTGGGCTTGCTCTGTCTTTACGCACAAAAACTGTTCTTCAGGATGGCGGCCAACGTTCAACATGAACTGGTTGGACCAGGAACTTATTTCATATTCAGTGCACTTTTCCCCCTCAATGACTATTAACTGTGGAAGGACTTCTGTTACGGGAAACAGAAAATGAACGGACCTAATAAGGACAAGGTCATTAAAGATGCCAAAGTCATGGAAAATGTTTGGGACATCAGTGACTCTTTGAGAGGACAACTTTATCTTCACATAATGGTTTGAGAATCAATACGCCAACATCTCAGGATGGTTAAAAGACCACCTCCTCATTTTTATAAGGATTTGAGGATGAATACACCAACTTCTCTTGATGAGTAGAAGACCACCTCCTCATTTTTATAAGAATTTGAGGATGAATACACCGACTTCTCTTGATGAGTAGAGGACCACCTCCTCATTTTTATAAGAATTTGAGGATGAATACACCGACTTCTCTTGATGGGTAGAGGACCACCTTCTCATTTATTTAAGGATTTGACGATGAATACACCAACTTCTCTTGATGAGTAGAGGACCACCTCCGCATTTTTATAAGGATTTGAGGATGGATACACCGACTTCTCTTTCTCATTTATTTAAGATGAGTAGAGAGAGGACCACCTCCGCATTTTTATAAGGATTTGAGGATGAATACACCGACTTCTCTTGATGAGAGAGGACCACCTCCTCATTTTTATAAGGATTTGAGGATGAATACACCGACTTCTCTTGATGGGTAGAGGACCACTTTCTCATTTTTATAATCCGATTGAGGATGAATACACCGATTTGAGGATGAATACACCGACCTCTCGTGATGGGTAGAAGACCACCTCCTCATTTTTATAAGGATTTGAGGATGAATACACCGACTTCTCTTGATGGGTAGAAGACCACCTCCTCATTTTTATAAGGATTTGAGGATGAATACACCGACTTCTCTTGATGGGTAGAAGACCACCTCCTCATTTTTATAAGGATTTGAGGATGAATACACCGACCTCTCTTGATGGGTAGAAGACCACCTCCTCATTTTTATAAGGATTTGAGGATGAATACACCGACTTCTCTTGATGGGTAGAAGACCACCTCCTCATTTTTATAAGGATTTGAGGATGAATACACCGACTTCTCTTGATGGGTAGAGGACCACCTCCTCATTTTTTTAAGGATTTGAGGATGAATACACCAACTTCTCTTGATGAGTAGAGGACCACCTCCTCATTTTTTTAAGGATTTGAGGATGAATACACCAACTTCTCTTGATGAGTAGAGGACCACCTCCTCATTTTTATAAGGATTTGATGAATACACTGACCTCTCTTGATGAGTAGAGGACCACCTCCTCATTTGTATAAGAATTTGAGGATGAATACACCGACTTCTCTTGATGAGTAGAGGACCAACTCACCGGTATGATGATTTCAAAATGAATACCCCAATTTCTCATGATGGTTAGAGGATCCCCTCCTCATCAGGTATAAGGATTTAAGGATAAATACGCCAAGTTCACACCATGATTAGAAGGCCACCTCCTCATCTGTATGATGATTTGAGGGTGACTACTCCATGTTTTCATAATGTGTAGAGGACATCTACTCTATCTTAAGACAATGATCTGAGGACCACTCTGCCATCTTGTATGGATTAGAGGACCACCTCATCATCCGTATGATAAGCAGAGGACAACTACACCAGCTTAACATAATGGTATGAGGACCACTATGCCATCTTCTCATATGGACCAGAGAACTACTACCCCATCGTTTTATCAGAATGTAGATACTTATTTTTTTGGTTGTCTGGTTTGGAAAAAAAAATACTCTTTGGAAAATCTAGACAAAGAAATGTGAGAAAGTTAGCTTTTTTGAAGAAAATCATAATAATGCTTGACGAAGGAGAAGACCTTGTATGGGCTTTCTGGGAAGACTAAGCCCAGTGAATGATTGTGTTCACAATGAATGGTAAAGGGGTCAGTCCACCTGAAAATGATATTTTAGTTATAGGTCAGCCTTGTTAGGTAGCTTGGGTGCTCCGCCAGTAATGTCTCCTTGCCATAATTCCCAACTTTGTTCCTGTTCAACTGAGAGTCTTAGATATCCCTACTCAATTTTTTCTATTTCCTGCTATGAAACAAGTACAAAAACCCTTCTGATGGGCACAGTAGGTGTACACAGCAGGTGTACAGGCCCGGGGACTGAGCACAGGGATGGTGGGAACTCCTCCTAATGGGCACAGCGGGTGCACAGACCCGGGAACTCACCCCAAGGATGGTGGGAACCCCTCACAATGGGTACAAAGGGTGTACAGACTCGGAAACTCACCACAGGGATGGTGGGAACCCCTCATAATGGGCACAGCAGGTGTACAGGCCCAAGAACTCAGCACAGGGATGGTGGGAGCCTCTCATCATGGGCACAGCGGGTGTACAGACCCGGGGACTCAGCACAGGGATGGTGGGAATGCCTCATAATGGACACAACAGGTGTACAGACCTAAGAACTCAGCACAGGGATGGTGGGAACTCCTCATAATGGACACAACAGGTGTAGAGACCCAGGAACTCAGCACAGGGAAAGTGGGAACCCTTCACAGTGGGCACAGCAGATGTACAGACCCAGGAACTCAGAACATGGATTTTGGGAACTCCTCATAATGGGCACAGCAGGTGTATAGACCTGGGAACATAGAACAGAGTTGTAGGAGCCCCTCATAATGGGCACTGCAGGGACGGCGGGTGCCCCTCAAAATAGGCACCATGGATGTACAGACCCAGGAACTCAGCACAGGGATGGTGGGAACCCCCCATAATGGGCACAGGGGGTGTACAGACCCAAGAACTCAGCACAGGGATGGTGGGAACCCCTCATAATGGACATAGCAGGTGTACAGACCCTGGAACTGAGCACAGGGATGGTGGGAACCCGTCATAATGGGCACAGAAGCTGCGAAGACCCAATAACTCAGCACAGGGATGATGGGAACCCCTCATAATGGGCACAGCAGGTGTACAGACCTGGGAACTCAGCACAGGGAAAGTGGGAACCCCCAATAATGGGCACAGAAGCTGCAAAGACCCAAGAACTCAGCATGGGGATGGTGGAAACCCCTCATAATGGACATAGCAGGTGTACAGACCCTGGAACTCAGCACAGGGAAAGTGGGAACCCCTCATAATGGGCACAGAAGCTGCGAAGACCCAAGAACTCAGCACGGGGATGGTGGGAACTCCTTATAATGGGCACAGTTGGTGTTCAGGCCATCCTTCGAATCCTGAAATATCAGGTGGACTGACCCTTGAAGGTATTATTTGTATATAGGACATTGGAAGAATGGTTGACATTGACTTGGAGATCACCGATTCCATACAACACACAGCATACCACGACCGTGGATTAGAGAGTCACTTTGGCGAATCTCTTGGCAGATCTGCGCTACTTCTTCTTTTGGAAGTTGACTAAGTGAAGGCATATGGAGATACGAGAGGAGATACAACCCAAGACCCTTCAAGCTGCCCGCCTCAATACATGGACACGATCCTCAATTAGAGTGAGCACCTTCGGAGGTGCTCTCAGGGCATTCACAGATGTTTTTTGAAGACCCCTTGGTACTGTTGAGATATATTTTTGCAGCCCAACAAATGTTCTTCATATCAGCCATGATGATTTATGAGCTCTACTGGCCAAACTTTTCTGACGCAAACCGCGATCTACACACTGTGATTTCAGGTACGTTCCTTTTGAAGGAAACCCTGAGGGGCCACTGGTGGCCTCTCATTCTGTATAAACTAGTTGCCTTGGTTGTCACGCCTGGCCCCTGGCCTCAACACTTTCAGAGGAGGCCTGCAGGTAAGGACTCTGCTCCACATTCACCAATCTGCCGCCTTGCCCGGGTCAACATTGAAGCCAGAGGACCAGCACAGGAGCCAGGCAACTGACAATTTCAAAAAAGGCCGGCAATGGCGTCCGCATGGCGCTCTCAGGGAACTTTAATGCCAAAGGCCATCCCATTGGCCGCCGAATGCATGACCCAAATTGGGACTAACATAGGATTACACTGTAACCTCAGAAATTCCATACGCACAGTCAGTGTTGCTGAATAAAGGTTAGTTATTGAGAACGTTTGGGGCTCTTTCTTCCATCAATTGTGATCAGCAAATCCAAAGTCTGGTTGAGGAGACTTCCTCGAGGAACCTGGTGGTCAGTGTTAAGGGCTGTGCTGATGGGAGGAGCTCCGGGTACTTGCAGATTCAGAAAGGCAATGCAATTCTGCCCCTTAACACCCCCTCCCCCCCAAAACAAAAATGACTCCTGTAATACTCTCACCCACCTGCAGATGGCACTGTGATGCAAATGCAGTGAACAGATCAGAGTATGGCAGAGCACCACCTAGCGGTTAGGAGTAGGTACTGCACCTCAGGAGTATATCTGCATGTGGGAAGCTGCTTAGATCTCCAAATTTAACCCATCGCTGACCTTCTGATGCCACATTGTCCTGTAGAGTCAGGACAAGGGTGGGGCAGGAGGGAGAGCTGCCTCGGGCGCAGAGGGGATTTGGAGGATTGTATCAGAAGGGCGATTTTGGAGGGTGATTTGTGTTACGGGGATTCTGCTAGTAGGAATGATGGAGGAAATTTGTACTACAAAGAGATTTTTTTTTGGGGGGGGTGGGGGGGAGGTAAGTGCTAAGAGAGGGGATTTTTCCTGGGAGAGGGAAATTTGGAGGGGGATTCGGGGTGATTTATGCTCAGAGGGAAAATTTGAGGGGTAGAGGATTTTGTGCTCGGAGGGGGGATTCGGGGGGAGGGAGAGGATTTGTGCTCGGAGGGGGGATTCGGGGAGGGAGAGGATTTGAGCTGGGAGGGGGGGATTTTACGCTGG